TGTTGATTTTTAAGGGGTTTCAACACGACCTACACTTAAAATCAAAGTTATTTTACAATGAAATTCCCCTCTCATTAAATAATATAAAAAAAATTAAGTACAAAGAGAGGATAACACTTCAATGGATAGTAACAAATGATAGCTCAAGTGTTTGATGAAAAATTTAATGAATATGATAATTAGAAATTAGATTCACCCGATCAAAGTATTTCAATGAGAATATGTAAAAAAATTTATGCAATGTAAGTGTAAAAATCTTCTCAAAATATCTCTCTTTTAATAAATAATAGTAATGAATTTAGTACTAAGAGAGAAATGATAAACGTTGATTGATATGATTATTTTTCAAGTTTGATTTAATCAATAAAAGGGTTTTAATGAGAAGGTGAGGAATAAATGAATCCAATGTAAGTTCAAAGAATCTTCTCAAAATATATCTTTCTTTCAATGAATAATTATAGTAAATCATGTATTAAGAGAGAAAAAAGAAATTTTGATGAATATGATGACTTTTCAAGTATGATTCGATCAATCAAAGTTTTCAACATGAATAAGTAGAAAGATTTATACAATGTAAGTGTCAAGATCTTCTTTAAAAATATATTTCTCTTTTAAAATTGATATAAATAAGTTAAGTATAAAGAGAAATGAAAAACTTTGATGAAAGAAATAATTGAAGAAATTTGATTCAACAATCAAATTTTTTGTTATAAAGAAATAGATGAAATGAATATAAAGATGTAGGCTCAAAGAAGATTTTTCACTCACATATTTCACTAGAAAGGTCTCTTGAAATTGTTATTGAGGAATGAAAAAGAATTGGTATTTATAGGAATCAAAACGGTAAAGTTCTGCCCAACCGGATGACCAATATAGCTGTTGGGTGTCAAAAGTAAGAACGGTCTGAAAATTTGACCGTTGATGTACCGGACGTCCGGTTGACTGTTGACCTTTTTTTTTTTTTTTTTGCAAAATGTTTTGAACGAAAATATGATATAAGTTCAAACATCATTTTGAAAATCAATCTTACTTTTGATCAAAACATTTTATACAAGTGGTAGTGAAAATAATTTTTCGTGCACAAAATAATTTTTGAGCTATTGTCATTCATTACTAAAGATCAAAGTGTTATACCATTACATATGATCTCGAAAGTCTAGTCTTTGATCTTGCTTCGAAATTTCTTTCATTATTTGGCTTTAATGCTTGACTTTGATCTTGATCCTCTTCATGAGCCTGCTTTAATAGTCTTGATTTTGATCTTTTAAGCTCTCATCTCGAATGATTTGACTTGAATGTTTAACTATCACTTTTCTATTCATTTCTACCTACGATTTATGATGTATTGATTTTGGCAATACTTGATATATTTTAATATTGAATTATCATCACTCAAAGTGAATTGTTAGAAACAATATTAATCTTGTTTGTTATAATCAAAACATTAAGGATAAAATCAACCATAGGTCAACACAGGATGCATAAACCAATTTATGGTCTAAAGCAAGCTTCTAGGCAATGGTTTTCCAAGTTCTCTTAGACACTTTTATTACATGGTTTTCAGCAATCCAAATCAGATTATTCCTTGTTCACAAAAGGGTTTGGTGCTTTTTTCATGGCCTTGCTAGTCTATGTTGATGATATAATTATCACTGAATTAGATACAAAAACAATTGATTCATTAAAAAACTTTTTACACAGACAGTTCAAATTGACGGATCTTAGTAAGCTAAAATAGTTTCTTGACTTGGAAATAGCAAGATCACAAAAGGGCATTTTTCTTTCCAAGAGACACTATACTTTGCAACTCCTTGAAAACACTGATTTCTTGGCTTGTAAACCAGCATTATTGCTAATGGATCCTAAAGTGAAGCTTAGCTCCTTTGAAGGGCAATTTCTTATCTTTGTATCGTCGACTTGTTGGTCGACTACTTTAATTAACTATATTGCGTCCAGACATTGCATTTGCTGTCCACAAATTGAGTTTTGTCTTACAGCTTCGCCAACCTCACTTAGATGTTGTACATCATCTCTTGAGATATCTGAAAGTAGCTCCAGGTCAAGGCCTGTTGTTTGATGCATTTTCTTCTTTCCAAATTCGGGCTTCTGCAGATGTTGATTGAGGGTCATGTTCTGATTCAAGAAAATCTATTATTGGTTTTTGTACTTTTCTTGGGAATTCTTTAATCTCTTGGAAGTCTAAGAAACAAACAACCGTGTCCAAATCTTCAACTGAGGCAGAATACTGTGCTTTGGCTTCATTAGCTTGTAAGATTGTTTGGATTCATCAACTTCTTCTGGATTTGCAGGTCACCATTTTTCTTCCAGCTTTGATCTTCTGTGATAATCAAGCTGCCATCCACATTGTCAAATGTCAATAATCCGATCTTCCATGAAACAAAGCACATAGGGATTGATTGTCATCTCATTCGAGACAAAGTTAATGATGGTTTTATCAAAGCTATTACTGATTCGTATTCAACATCAGTTAGCTGATGTATTCACTAAACTATTGTCGTCATCTATTCTTTTTCCGCTCTTGTCCGAGGTGGCTATCCTCGATTTACATAATCCATCTTGAGAGGGAGTATTAGAGGATTCCAGCTGACCGAAGCTCCAGCTCCAACTCAAGTTCAAGATCAGCTCAAGCAGTTCAGTTCCAGCTCAACAAACTTTGTATTGTTGTATTGGCGCCAATTGTATAGAATCTAGTTAATTAAAATTCAGTCAGTTAGTTACATTACAGCTGTGTTAGTTAGTTAGCTTAGTTTACTTTGTATTTATAAAAGGGATCAATGAAATCATTCTCTTGTGTGTATGAATAATAAGAGAAAAGTTTTTCTTCTCTAATAGGTTTCATGATATTGTATTTTTAAGCTAAATCTTTCTCCACTGTATAAAGGAAAAAAAATGGAGGATGGGATCGTGACTTTGACTTCTAGGTAAACCAACAAGTGAAGGAAGGAACAACACAACAATGAACTGTGACGAACCCTCAGACACCAATGTAAACCCGCCATAACTTTTGGGAAGATCATAGCATTGAACTTTACGCATTTTGTAGTAGCAATGGCAGGGTAAACTGATTTTTCTTCTTTAATTTCTTATCTTCTACTTCTAGCTTCTTCTTTTTCTCGAAAGAATTGCTCAATTTTGTGTTGTGATTATGTTATTTACTAGGGTTTTTGAAATGTTTGCAACGGAGAAGGAACAGACATAGAAGGAGGCAACAACAAAGGGGAGAATGCCTTGCACACGACAATGGTGAAAAGCGAAAACAACACAAATGAAGAGAAATTGTATTGGGTGTTTATATTTACTGCGAAGGATGATATCAAGATGAAGTCCTAGAATGCCTCAGCGGGTTTGAAGGTTCTGATTCTGATATGAGTTTTCAAATTTAGGAATGGGGTGATTGATTTTTGATGTGATTTTCAAGAGTGGAACTATAGAGGAGATTGAATTTGATGTGAAGAATGATAAGGTTAGTGTTGAGGTGAAGAGAGGCTATTGCTAATTTCCAATTCAGAAAAGGGCCGACAAAATTGCTAGAGAAACAATTTTTTATTGAAAAATGGCAAAAACAAAATAAAATAAAAATAAAAAGAGACCAAACTCTAGCGACAATTCCTCTGTACAAAGAGAATTGCCGATTTCTCTAATTCCGCCTAAGGAAGGGAAAACTTCTATTTTCTCATGGGAAAACCACCTATACTTTCATCTATGTTTATTTGAAGAATTTTGGGACAATTGATTTTTTACTTCAATTACACGTTGTAATAAAATTAAAATAAAATCCAATGTGTTATTAATTATTAATTACACCGGCCAAAAAATCTCAAACTTTGAAGAAACAGAATATTTATAATGTTGACAGGCCAAACAGAGCCCATAAAGTTCACGAAAGCTTGGGTTTTGTCTCATCCAACTCTATTCAGTCTCTACGTGGATCACGAGGTTATATTTTTATTGAATTAAATTAGACGTACACAAATGGTATACAACTAGTTTGGCATTTCATGACATGACAAAATTAATGATAAAATTATGTGCTAGAATATAAACAAAGTTGTTAACAAAATTAATTTTTATTTAGCCCTTATTTGGTCCACAATATTTTCAAAATACAATTTCCTCGCTCTTATTTTCAACCATACATTTTTCACTAAAATAATATTATACGCACTCAAAAGTTTCCCTTATTTTTTAACTACACATTTTTCATCAAAATACTATTCTAAAATGAATTTTGGACAAAACAGGGCTCAAACAAGCTCTTAATAATATTTCTAACTTGAAATAAGAAAATTTATAGTGAGTCCAAACTTCACAAATAATGCACAAAGGTCCTCAATTAATTTTTCTTACCTTTATGTCTGTAAACTTGTTTTTCGTGTACAAGGTCGATCCTTCATGTACTAAGATTTTTTTTTTCTGAGGCTTGGTCAAATATACTCATCTCGTCTTTTTGGACGAAAATGAGTTCTAGTGGTGAATGCACAAAAATAACTCTCGAATATATCATCGGGCAAAGTGATTATTAAATAGAAAAGTTAACGATTTTCATTTAATAAAGAATGAACATGAATGCATGAGGAATTAAAAGTCAAAAAAATTAGTTGGTGGTTCACATGCATTATTTTTGAAAGTTCAAGGAGCTTGACTGTGAATTTAACTTAAGAATATTTAATTTCTCATTTTATTTTTACAAATTCCAATTAATTAAGATCAATAAAATAATTATTTTAATGAATATAAAAAAAGCATTAAAATAAATTAATTGAGGACTCGTATTCTTGCCTACCTTCTTCCTCTTGCAAGTTGCAAAAGCCCAAACCAAACTAATAATAATTAAAGAAAAAAAAAACAGCTTATCGGGGAGCTCAGGAGTTAACCCTCGACATTTCCGAAGTTGTATTAATAAACTCCGCCTCTTTCTTACACAATTTTCGTTTTATATTTAGATAGGTTCATAAAAAATACAGAGAGAATCTGAGGCTATGGCGACAATTTCTTCATCAATACGTTGTTGTTCATCATCATCATCATCATCATCTTATTCAAATTCTTCCTATATTGAGGTTCATCAGAAAAATGTACCCTTTTCATTAGTTTCTCCGAAAAGATTGGCGGCAAAAAAGGTTTCTTTACAGTCTAAGTGCAACCCATATTCTGATGTGATTATCATGCAAGATGGTTAGTTCTTGTTTCTTCTTTATTTTCTTTAATTGTGTGTTTGTTCACTTGTTTCTTTGATTTTTTTTTTTTAATTTCTATTTTTATTCCTAATCTGATGGTGAATTATTGTGACATCTTTCTTGGTTGACTTTGTATGTTTTTATGAGCTTTTATTATTTTTCATTATTTTCTGTTTTTAACTGTCGTTTTGGAGTATACCAGTTGATTTAATTTCATGGATTTTTTTTATGAATTCAGTGGAAATGATGGGTTAGATATTTTGATAACCGTGTAAATTGAATTGTTTGAAAGTCAAAGAAAAAGAAAAGAAAAGAAAGGATAAGAAGCGGGAAAAATATTGGAATTTTATTTTTTTACTGTCGAATTGATTTTACATCTATTAGTTTTCATTTTATTCAGTGAATATATTGAGTGCAGTTTGATCTTGAAAGTGGCTCTTGTCTAGCATTTTGTAAACTATAAGATTATGTGCTTCGAGTTCAATAGCTAAATCGAAAGTTTTCTAGGTGCTGTGGGCACAACAGCTGCCACAACAGAAAATAAGGCTCCTTTGAAGAAATTGAAAGATGAGTTATTGTCAATTATCCCTCCTGACGAACACAAAGAGCCGATTGAAGTGCGTGGAAATAATGATAAATCGACTGTCAGTATCACTGTTGTGGGGGCCTCTGGTGACCTTGCCAAGAAGAAGATATTTCCAGCACTTTTTGCGCTTTATTACGAGGATTGTCTCCCTGAGGTCTGCTTTATATTCATTTTGTGATGTCTTATTTTGATCAGACAATGTTTTCTTAGACAACAAAAATAAACATTCAAAAACAAGTGACTATAAAAATGTGCATATTTTGATTTCGACTCAATTGGATGTTGGATGAGTACCGTAAGATTTCTCTTGGTCACAGCACTTCACCATTTTCGGTTATTCACGTAGTAAGATGACAGATGCAGAGCTAAGAAATATGGTTAGCAGGACTCTCACTTGTAGAATTGACAAGAGGTAACTCTTCTTTACCTTCTGCTACTGATTTGTATTTACTTGCTGTATGATATTTTCCTTTCTATTTCAAGTGTATCGCCTTCTGCTTCTGCTTCTGCTTCTTATTTATTTTTATTTTTTTTGAATTAATTAGTTTTGTCATTTATAGAGATCGATTATGGATTGAACTTCATAAGTGATCGTTCGTGTATTTTCATTTTGATCTTAGGGAAAATTGTGATGAAAAGATGGAACAGTTCCTACAAAGATGTTTTTACCAATCAGGCCAATATGATTCTCAGGAGAATTTTATGGAATTGGATAAAACACTCAAGGAACATGAGGTGATGTCAACTGGAGATTCATCCATCTTATTGTTTCAGAGTTTTGTGCTACTGTTTTAAGTTATGACTGGATGAATATATAATGTTATTTTACTCATTTACATTTGGAGCCGAATAAAGTGAGTTCTCGCAACATATTTCTGGCATATTTTATTAAATAATTATACCCAAAATCATTGTCTGCTCTCATCCCAAAGTTGCAGAAATATGAAAATCTATGTTGAAATTTGCTTCTGTGCTTTATTTCAAGTTTTATTTAGTATAATTCATCATGATATGAATTTTAAAATCTTTCTATCAAACTTACAACAGGATAAATTATGAGAACTAAGTGGAAGATTCTTTTATCTTATTTAGATATTGATATTTAGAATTGGAATTTTGAAAATGTAAGTCCTTAGAATTATGATCTCAAAGATCTTCAGGTGTTTCCTTGAGGCTTGGTCTTGTTTTTTCCTGGCGTTTTTACTGTGCAATCATTTTAAAGTGTTTCCTTGGCCTATCTGCAGTCTGGAAGGATTTCCAATCGACTTTTCTACTTATCAATCCCACCAAATATATTTATAGATGCTGTAAGATGCGCGAGTCTATCTGCTTCTGCTTCAGATGGCTGGACAAGGGTCATTGTAGAGAAACCTTTTGGTAGGGATTCGGGATCCTCGGCTGCTTTGACTAGAGCTCTCAAGCAATATTTGGAGGAGGATCAGATTTTCAGGTGATTTTTTTGACATGAAATTGCTTGAATGGGCGAATAATCAGTCTAATACTGGACTTCAATTTTTTTTTCCTTACAGGATAGATCACTATCTCGGGAAGGAGCTAGTAGAGAATCTTTCTGTCCTGCGTTTCTCAAACCTTATCTTTGAACCCTTATGGTCAAGGCAGTATATAAGAAACGTGCAGTTTATATTCTCTGAGGATTTTGGTACTGAAGGAAGGGGAGGGTAATTTGTCTTCTTAACGGTCTTTAACTAATCTAGATGCATATAATGAATGTACATTAATTTATTTTGTTTCTTTTTTTTTTTTTTACAGTTATTTTGATCATTATGGAATAATTAGAGACATAATGCAAAATCATCTGCTCCAAATACTGGCCCTCTTTGCCATGGAAACACCCGTCAGTTTGGATGCGGAAGATATCAGGAACGAAAAGGTTTCTGCCTCTTGTGCACATCTGTTTATTATCAAATATGATGTTTCCTGAAGATCTCTGATTAACTCTTGATGAACTACAGGTTAAAGTTTTGCGTTCCATGAGGCCCTTACGTGTTGATGATGTGGTCATTGGGCAATACAAGAGTCACACAAAAGGAGGTGTCACCTATCCAGGATATACAGACGACAAAACTGTACCTAAAGACAGCTTAACCCCAACTTTTGCTGCAGCTTCGCTATTCATTGATAATGCGAGATGGGATGGTGTGCCTTTCCTAATGAAAGCCGGGAAAGCCTTACATAATAGGAGGTCAGCAAATAACAAAACCGAAAACTTGGCATTTCTTGTTTATGTCTTTTGAACTTCCACTACAAGATTGTTTTTCCTTTAACTTTGTGTCCTCAGGGCTGAGATAAGGGTTCAGTTTAGACATGTTCCTGGTAATATATACAATCGAAACTTTGGGACTGATCTTGACCGAGCAACAAATGAGCTTGTCATCCGTGTCCAGCCCGATGAAGCTATTTATTTGAAGATCAATAACAAAGTCCCTGGCTTGGGAATGAGATTGGACCGGAGTAATCTGAATCTTCTATACAAAGCAAGGTATTGATGAGATAATTCATATTTTGGCTTTTAAAATATTGAATCCATACTGTGATTCGTCGTGGCAATGAACACTGCCTAAATCAAGCGATTTTCTGTGGCACATCTTGTGTCAGCTATGAATATCCATTTTTTTTTTAAACTGTTTTTTCTGAATTTTATGTGCAACTGTCTCAAAAGACTCTGTATTGGCTATTAATCTGATTCTACGACTAGCAGTAATGTATTCTTTTTGTGTCTTGTTAGATACTCCAAGGAGATTCCTGATGCATATGAGAGACTTCTTTTAGATGCCATTGAAGGTGAAAGGAGACTTTTCATCCGAAGTGATGAATTGGATGCTGCTTGGTCTCTCTTTACACCTGTGTTGAAGGATCTTGAAGAGAAGAGAATAATCCCGGAGTACTATCCTTATGGAAGTCGTGGTCCAGTTGGGGCTCATTACCTCGCAGCCAGATACAATGTTAAATGGGGCGATCTTGGGGTTGACGAATGATGTTGAGGTCATTGTCTAATGTTCAAAGCCTAGAAAGTTCGTCATTCCAGTTTCTTGGATTTAGGGGAGGAGTCAGAGAGGTATAACCGGATTCAATTTTTCTTGTCAATAATGGTTATTGGAAATGTGGGTTGTCTCTTCTTGTTTGGCAATTTTTTTTTCAGCATCATTCTATGTTCACTTGAGAATAGACTGGAAGTTACTCATTTGGCTAACTTACCTTAGTGGGACTACTCTTTTCTTTAAAGAAGTGTAGTAAGATATTACTTTGATAGTTATTATAATTTGGGAATGTGATGCGGCAATATGAATGCAAAGGCATACCTTTTGGCTCCATTGGGTAGACTGCCCCTTGGGACGAGCAATGGCCATAGCATGGACGCTGCCTTTGTGGATCGTCCCGCAGTGCCCATTCCAATGTCATTGCTTGTCTCAATGGGTTAAGGCTATCATATGATTATATCATGACAATGAAAGGCACATTCCAAATCTTATTTTCTCAAAATCTTATGTAACATTATTCAAAGAAGTGTTGCTGGTCATGTCAAATCTTATTTTCTCAAAATCAAATCATACCTTTGATTACACGTGCATCACTTAAAATGGTATTTGACACGATCTCTCGCATATGATTCCACTCAAATTAGTAGTCTTATCTGCTCACTTTGGAATTGATATTCCCTATTCATTCTTATCAGCACCTGTGAGTAAATGCTAACGTGAAAACAGCTAACCTTGTTGAATCTGTCACACCTACTTTCAAGTTACGTTATGTCACTAATTGTTCAAACAAAATTATTTTTCCTTTGCTGAAAAACCTTTAGGATCCGTTTGATTGTAATGGTGAAAAATGGAAAATGGGTGGAAAAAAATGATTTTCTAAGAAAATAATTGTCTAGAAATCATTTTGCAGGGAATTGTTAATTAAATGTGTTTGATTGGTATAATTTTTCACCTTGAAAAATTTTAAAATTTTGTATTCGTTTGGTTTTGTTTTATATGAAAATTGTTCATTAAAATGAATTTTTTTTTTTTAACAATTAGTTATAAAATTTGTTAACATTGCCAAAAAGTAAAATAAATAAATAAATAAAATTTGCTGAAAATTATTTTTCATTAAAGTTTAGTGTTCGTTTGGCTTCGTTTTATATGGAAATTGTCTATTAAAGTGATTTTTTTTATATATATATAATTGGTTATGATATTTGTTGATATTGCCAAAAAAAAAAAAAAAAAATACTGACAGCGGGAAAAGACTTTCCCACCAAAATGGTGGGAAAATCAATTCAACTAATTGATGGCAATTGTGACCGTGTGAAGCAAAGTGAGAATTTCAATTCCCTAGAAAAAAAGCATATCAAACAATGAAAAAGTAGGAAAATGCTTTTTCATTTTCCATGGAATTGGGTAACCATCAAACACACCCTTGGTTATTTTAAAAGGTAACTTTTAAGCACATACAAACATATAGATTAATGCTGGGGAAAGCAAGACTGCTTAATTTAGGCAGTAGATTAGTATAAAGATAATTATAAGTTATAATTAATATGCATGACGTGTACACAAATGGTACATCACCAACCCTTTGTCACTTCATCATTGCCTACTGATGTGCACGCAAATAGAGTACTTACCAAAGCAAAAAACTTCATTTTTTACCCGAAATTTGGTTAATTGAATTTGTGATCAGTTCGAATAACTGAGGTTGGAGAAATTAATGACATGTGACCATGTGACCAGATCTCTTGAATTTGTGACATGTGACTTTGTCCCAAAAACTTTTCTCAGGACATGTTTTAACAAATAAATTTATCAAGTCGAATTTTTTGAAAGAGGAATAAATGGGTAAATTCATTCATAATTATTTTAAACCAGACGTGCATATATTTATGATTTTGTAAATTTTTATTTTTTTGCACCACTTTCTAATTGTACTTAAAGTTCTTAATCTTTACTCATTATATCACTTATGTTCCTAATGATTTTTCTTGTCATTATCCTCCTCAAACTTTTCATTAATTAACATATTTTATATTTGATAACAGTTTTATGTCCAAAGTCTGTTGAAATAGCGTAAAAGAACTTATGTTTTCATCATTAAAAAAAAAAAAAATAAATGAAAAGTGCAAGAAAATATTTTTCCCTCATTTCAAAGCATGAAAACAAAATATTTTGATATAAACCATTATCAAAGACGAGACGTATAAATTAATAGTAAGTTGAAGATAAGAAATGACGAAAAAAGTTAATGAAATAATTGTTACAATGAGTAAAGATTGAGAAGATTAACTACAATTAAAATGTGGTATATCAAATAAAATTTGCGATCATAATATAATCACATTTCGTCAATGTAGTAGACAAAGACTTGGTAGTGAAAGGGACAAGTCTTCTCTTCTCTGCGTGCAGATTTATATAACAAACTTGTAGATATGCATATCTCGATTTAATACATGTTTTATGAAAATTGTTTTAAAAAATAGCAACCAGTTTCCATTTA